GCTGTTTCTCATTCTCCCTCCCCTCCTTCTCCCTCGCCTCCTCCTCCTCCTCCGCCCTCCTCCCTCCCTCACCCTCCTCCACCCTCCCCCTCCTGCCCCTCAGGTGGATTTCAGAAGCGCGCAAGAGAGTCACGCTTGCCAGTAGTTCGAACACGTCGAGGGTTGGGCGTGCACCACCTGTGGAGCCCTGGGCGTCCGCGTGGCGTTGCAGCGCCTAGCCGATGAATGTCATCGGGGTCTTTGCCAAAGAAAGGAAAGATAATCTCGATCAGTTGCGTCAGGGGTCTTGCCCTGGGACTTCTGGGGCTTGCCCTGGGACTTGCGGGGAGCGCGCCGCATGCAGGAGGAGCACGAGGCGGCAAAATTGATAATAGTGTGGTTCGAACTACATGCTCCCCCCCCTCCTCCTCCTCCTCCTCCTCCTCCTCCTCCTCCTCCTCCTCCTCCTCCTCCTCCTCCTCCTCCTCCTCCGCCTCCTCCTCCGCAATCCCGAGCGCAAGCAAGAGGTCAGCAAAGGCCAGGAGGTCCGAGCCCGTGGGGTCAGACTTTGCAGCCCCTGCTTCCCGCGCCCTGGCCGTCGGAGAGGGTCGCCTGCGAGCCGGGGGGGGAAGTGAGAGAGGGGGCACGCCTTCTCAGAAGGCCACGGGGCTTCTCAGAGCGCCCTGCGCGCGAGGCCGGATGCCTCCTCGGAGATGGCTCGGAAAGCTTCTCGGAGGGCTCGAGACCCGAGGAGCCCTCCGAGGAGCCCCGCCCCCCCTCGACCCTCCCCCCCCCCTCTGGGGGGCTCGCCGCCGGCCCCGGGCGTGCGCCGCGCCGCCGCTGCTCCTCGGCGGGGGCGGTGCTGCGGCGGCGCCTCGCCCCCGAGCGTGCCCCGCGCACGCGGAGCGCCGTGCGGCCGAGGACGCCCTCGGCCGGCCGCTCCGAGGGCCGTGCCTCCGCGGGAGCACCCAGGGCGGAGAAGGAGGAGGAGGCGGAGGCGGAGGAGGAGGAGGAGGAGGAGGAGGAGGAGGAGGAGGAGGAGGAGGAGGAGGAGGAGGCGGGGTTGGGGAGGAGGAGGAGGAGGAGGAGGAGGAGGCGGAGGGGAGAGGAAGGAGGAGAGGAGGAAGAGGGTGAGGGGAGGAGGAGGAGGAGGAGGGCGGTCTCATCGGCGTCGCCGCCGCCGAGAGGTCCGAGGTTTTTTCGCCGGGGGTCCTGGCCCTCTGCAGCTGCGCTTTCACCGCGGTGGGATGGGGGGGGACACGGGATAGCGCGGGTTGAGGAAATTATCGTATGGCCAAAAAAGTGGGGGGGCGGGGGGCCACGGCAAAGGCGCAAGCATACATCGGTATCGTTTAATCATTGTTCCCTATTGATGAACACCCCCTCCCCCAGGCGACTGGTAGCCAAACAGGAACCATGAGGCCACCCCCCCACCATTGGGGACACCCCCCACCATGTAAAAAACCATACAAACACACACCCTGCCTCCGAATTCGGAGCATGCGCAGCCAACCCGATGCGGCCTCCCCCCACCATCCCTATCAAACTATCCCGGCAAAGCAACCTAACAGCGATGTGTAGGAGCATATCTGGAAGCATTCCCCTCACGATTCAGATGAGAATCCAGTTGTAGAATTCTGCTGTTCTCGCAGTCGTAGTCGCATTCGCGATGACAGTCGCAGTGGCAACGGCAGTCACAGTCCCAGCCTCAGCCTCAGCCTGCCTCAGCCTCAGCCTCAGCCTGCCTCAGCCTCAGCCTCAGCCTGCTTCAGCCTCAGCATCAGCCTGCCTTCAGCCTCGGCCTCAGCCTCAGGCTGCCTCGGCCTCACCCTGCATCAGCCTCACATCAGCCTCGGCTCAGCCTCACTGCCTTCAGCCTCACCTGCCCTCAGCCTCAGACCTCAGCCTGCTTCAGCCTCAGCCTGAGTCTGCCTTCAGCTTCTGTCTCAGCCTCAGCCTGCCTCAGCCTGCCTCAGCCTCAGCATCAGCCTGCCTCAGCATTCAAAATGTGGCCAGGGAATGGAATTCTGGGAACTCGAAGAACACGAAGTGGCCTACAGTTTGCTCCGGGCATTTAAAATCATGCCCAGGAATGGAGTTCTGGGAAGTCGAAGAGCACGAAGTGGCCTACAGTTGGCTCCGGGCATCCAAAATGTGGCCCGGGAATGGAGTTCTGGGAACTCGAAGACCACGAAGTGGCTTACAGTTGGCTCCGGGCATCCAAAATGTGGCCCGGGAATGAGGTTCTAGCAGCGCCAAGAGCGATTTTGCGAGGATGTCCCAGGCGATTTGGGCTTCGGCGGCAGCCGCCCCAGGTCCCGCCCCGACCCCCCTGAGGAGTCATGATGCTTTCTTGTGACACCACTAGAAACCTATCAGTCTTCGCTGTTTGGTAAAAAACAGTACAGAGTACACTTGGTGGCGGCGGCGGCGGCGGCGGCTGCGGCGGCGGTGGCGGCGGCGCGGTGGCCGGCGGGCGGCGGCGGCGGCGGCGGCGGCGGCGGCGGCGGCTGCGGCGGTTGCGGCGGCGGCGGTGGCGGCGGCGGCGGTGGCGGTGGCGGCAGCGGCTGCGGCGGCAGCGGCGGTGGTGGCGGCGATTTGGCAGCGGGGGCGGCGGCGGCGGCAGCGGGCGGACGAGCGCCTTCTTAAGACGAGCGCCTTCTTAAGCGAGCGCACACAACACAAACACACACACACACGCGCGCGCACGCACGCACGCACGCACGCACGCACGCACGCACGCACGCACGCACGCACGCACGCACGCACGCACGCACGCACGCGCGCGCACACACACACACACACACACACACACACAAACACACACACAAACAAACAAACAGACAGACACACAAACACACACACACACACACACACATACACACACACGCACTGTTTCTCCAGCGGCCGGGCGAGTCTCACCGCAGCGTGTACTCGGCTGGCGGGGCGCGCTGAGTCCAATCACCACGTGGCCTTGCAGATGGGTGCGTAGTCAAGACGTGGTGGACGTGCGCAGCAACACTGCAGAAGCGAAAACACACACACACACACAGACAAACAAACGAACCAGCGATGTGTAGAAGCATATCTGGAAGCATTCCCCTTAAGATTTAAGTGAGAATCCAGGTAGAATTCTGCTGTTCTCGCAGTCGCAGCCTCAGCCTGCCTCGGCTTGCCTCGGCCTCAGCCTCAGCCCTCAGCCTGCCTCGGCCTCAGCCTCAGCCTCAGCCTGCCTCAGCCTCAGCCTCAGCCTCAGCCTGCCTCAGCCTCAGCCTGAATCAGCCTCAGCCTCAGCCTGCCTCAGCCGCTGCTTGTCTCAGCCACACCTCAGCCTCAGCCTCAGCCTGCCTCAGCTTCAGCCTCAGCCTCAGCCTGCCTCGGCTTGCCTCGGCCTCAGCCTCAGCCTGCCTCGGCCTCAGCCTCAGCCTCAGCCTGCCTCAGCCTCAGCCTCAGCCTGCCTCAGCCTCAGCCTGCATCAGCCTCAGCCTCAGCCTGCCTCAACCGCAGCTTGCCTCAGCCTCAGCCACAGCCTCAGCCTCAGCCTCAGCCTGCCTCAGCTTCAGCCTCAGCCTCAGCCTGCCTCGGCTTCAGCCTCAGCCTCAGCCTCAGCCTCAGCCTCACCTCATCCTGCTCCTCAGCCGCCGCCGTCAGCCTCTCAGCCTCAGCCTGCATCAGCCTCAGCCTCAGCCTGCCTCAGCCTCAGCCTCAGCCTCAGCCTGCCTCAGCCTCAGCCTCAGCCTCAGCCTCAGCCTCAGCCTGCCTCAGCTTCAGCCTCAGCCTCAGCCTGCTTGGGCTTGCCTCGGCCTCAGCCTCAGCCTGCCTCGGCCTCAGCCTCAGCCTCAGCCTGCCTCAGCCTCAGCCTTCGCCTGCCTCAGCCTCAGCCTGCATCAGCCTCAGCCTCAGCCTGCCTCAGCCGCAGCTTGCCTCAGCCTCAGCCACAGCCTCAGCCTCAGCCTCAGCCTGCCTCAGCTTCAGCCTCAGCCTCAGCCTGCCTCGGCTTGCCTCAGCCTCAGCCTCAGCTTACCCCGGCCTCAGCCTCAGCCTCAGCCTGCCTCAGCCTCAGCGTCAGCCTCTCAGCCTCAGCCTTCATCAGCCTCAGCCTCGGCCTCAGCCTGCCTCGGCCTCAGCCTCAGCTCACAGTGTGTTGGCTCCGGGCAAAATCACGCCCAGCCTGGAATGGGGAATGTTTCTGGGAACAAGAAAGAACACGAAGTGGCCTAACGGTTGGCTCGGGGCATTCAAAATGTGGCCCGGAAATGGAGTTCTGGGAACTCGAAGAACACGAAGTGGCCTACAGTTGGCTCCGGGCATTCAAAATCATGCCCAGGAATGGAGCTCTGGGAACTCGAAGACCACGAAGTGGCCTACAGTTGGCTCCAGGCATCCAAAATGTACGCCGGGAGTGGAGTTCTAGCAGCGCCAAGAGCGATTTTGCGAGGATGTCCCAAGCGATTTGGGCTTCGGCGGCAGCCGCCCCGGGTCCCGCCCGGACCCCCCTGTGGAGTCATCTGCTGCTCTCTTTTGACCCCACTAGAAACCTATCAGTGTTCGCTGTTAGGTAAAACGAAATCCCCGAGATCCAACGCACCTAACAGCGATGTGTGGAAGCATATCTGGACATCAAGTGCCCCCTTAGATAGATGAGAATCCAGTTGGGCTCTTCTGCTGTCTCGCAGTACGGGCACCTCATTTCGCTGAAATGGGAAACGTCCGCAGTGGCCTGGATTAATCCCTCAGCCTCAGCCTCAGCCTGCCTCGCATCCGTGCTGGCCTCAGCCTCACTTCAGCCTGCCCAGCCTCACCTCAGCCTGCTCCTTGCATCGAGCCTCAGTCTGCCTGCAGCTCCTCGGCCTCATCCTCGCCTGCCTCAGCGCCTGAGCCAGCCTCAGCCTGCCTCAGCCTCAGCCTCAGCCTGCCTCAGCATCAGCCTGCCTCAGCCTCAGCCACAGCCTGCCTCAGCCCCAGCCTCAGCCTCAGCCTGCTTCAGCCTCAGCCTCAGTCTGCCTTCAGCCTCGGCCTCA